GGGCGCGTCCGTTTCCTCCAGGTGGGTGGGGAGCGGGCAATTTTGTCTTTACCCTCTCACCACCCACCTCCTCCCTTCTAGCGTTTTCTGATGAGTTAAGGGGAGCCAAGCAGTTTTTCGTTTGGACAGGCTTTCCGAGGCAACCGAAGCCCTTAGGAGAGGGTCTGAGCCTCGGGGTTTCTGTCTGCGTTTCTCTCCCACCCGCCTCCCTCTCTGCTTGGCTCCCTGCCTATCCATTCATCAATCGACTATGTTTCTAATCCGTTGATCATTACCTGCCCATTCCCCTTTCCATTCATTTCCAAAACCAGAAATCGCCCTCAGCTCTGCTTCTTCTCTCAGTGTGGGAAATACACTCAGATTTTCGGCTTAGCCCAGCAGAAGAGAAATGGATTTATATTTATAAAGCAACAGGGTCTATTTTAAGGCAGATGTGAACGCACCGCCCCCACCCGCTCCCGCCAAGCCTCGCCTCACGTTTTCGCCTATTTTTCCCCCTTCTGAAGCTAGAGGTGCGTGGAGATAGGTTTGGAATCGCCAAGAACCAAAATGTCCTGGGTTGTTGCTGCCTGGAATGACGGCAGCCAAGTTCACACAAATGTTTAACTAAAAATATTCATTTTGGTGACATTTCCCCAGTTCTTTTTTTTTTTTTTTGAGGTGGGGGGCGCCAGGGGAATGTGATTTGTTGTAAAAAGAAAACAAGAAAGTACAGCGGATAATGTTAAAAAAAAAAACCTTATGTCCATCACTCAAAATTTATATAAACGTTAGCAACGTGAGTTTGTTTTTCGCGTTTCTGAGTAACCGTACTTTTTCTTTTTCTCTCTGTCTCCCTGCGTGGCTGTCATTCTTTCACCCTTTTCTCCTTCCTTCCTTTCCGGTCCTGCCTTACCTATATATTCTTTTGTGTGTTTCCCCTCCCTCTTCTCTATGGCTCTCCACCCCCACTTCGCATTTACACACTGCGATGCTTCCCTCTTTCTGGAAAACAGACTTGCAGGAGCAGTTTGGTGATTGACAGGGACCTAGGGAGGGAAAGAGGAGACCAATGACAGACCCCAGCTACCCACGGCCCCTCAGGCCAGTGGCTGTGAGGCGGGGAGCACAGAGTGAGGAAGGGGGCAGGTTCCCGCAGACCAGCTGAAGATCTTGAAGCTCTCTGAGCGTTGAGGTTTTGCATCACAGTCCCCTGGGGCCAGGTTTATTCAGTTGAGGTTTAGAGGGCTGAGGAACAGTTTTTGTTGTTTTTTTTTTTTAACTGTAGGAATACATGTCCATCCAGAAAATCCTAAATGATTTGCTTTTGACATCCATTTCTAGGAGATTATTTGCTTATTGTTTTTGGCGTGTTGTGAACGTCAAGAATGAGAGAGCTTAAAAAAAAAAGAAAGAAAAACTCCCACTCTGTTAAAACTAAGCAGTCCTGTTAGAAAAATAAAGCTTTGGAACCTTTTACTAGGAGTTACACATCCCTACCCCCAATGAAACAAATGTCAAAGGAAGTAACAAAAATGGGGGAAAAAAATGTAAAGTGAATTGCAAAGGGCTCCACCGTCGGGGGGCAATCTGAGATTCACAGAAAGTGGAGACGGATAAGACAGGAATTAGGTCATCTCGTCCAGACCCCAGGAAATATGTTTAGATCAAAGCCTGCTCCGTTAGAATAAACAAAACAGGGCCCAATGGGCCTTACCAATATTTTCATCTCCGTGCTAAGAGCTGCTAATCTAACCGGCTCTATTTGATGAAAGGGGAAAAAATTACAACTGTAAAAATGGCTCAGTAAAAAAAAAGAAAAAAGAAAAAAAAAGTCCTCTCAACTCTACTAGGAAGATAAAGATTTAGATTTGAGCTAAAAAGTAACAAGATCCAGGCCCAGATCCACACAAACTTCCTGGAATTTTAGCACTAAGTACATTATCTAATCCCAGGCATTGTTCCGTCCTTGCCAGCACCCCCTGCCCACCCCCACCCCCGTGCAACTGAGCATACCGAATGATTTACATAAAAAAATTGTTAAATTTTAACTGCAGTCTAAGAACCTTGCAGGAGGCAGACTTTTGGGTTCATTTACTCCACATTCCTTAAGGACCTACCACCACCAGCCTCACTGTCCACCCCCCCACCCGCAGTTGGAGCTACGTGTTGGCTTTATTGTTAGGGATGGTTCTTTAAGCCCCATCTTCAAGTTTGGTCTCTCTTTCCACTAAGCAGATAGATGGAGACAGGGAGCTAGGGTCTTAGAAGCCTGGCTTTGGGTCCACTCAGCAGCCGTAGGTATTTTAGCATCTAAGCCTGAGTACTGGATAAGGCTTTCTTTTACTGCAGAGCAGATGGCCTTAAAGCAACTGCCAGCGAACATTTGATAGATAGAAACATTCAAAAAAGGGACAGGAAATCCCAGAGAAGGAAAATTCACCCAGGCTAAATCCAGGGTTGCCGTTCCTTGCTGAGCCTGGTTTCCTCTTAACTGTTTAAACATATGATTTGGCTCCTCTTGTGTTTCTACATCCATCTGAGCTCAACTTTAACAAAGACTGAGGGACCGCCTGTCAGCTTGGCTCCGGTCCTCTCTAAAGCCAGGACAACAGGGGTGGGGGATGTGACAGGACTTTATAAACACCACCAGGAACAGGCCATCTTCTGTGTGGGCCCCTTGGCTGCTCACCTTTCTGAGGACAGTTCCAGGATCAGCTTTTTCCTGCCGTTCTATGGACGGCCTTGAAGACACATGGCACCGCGCTGGAAGCTGCACAGGCCGGTCCTCCCTTGTGAGACCTGGGATGAGACCCAGTCCAGCTGAATCGTGTGATGACGTGATGCAGAATGGCCATGGGTCACATCGTCTTGTAATCACAGCCACGTTCCCTGGAGGCCCAGACAGTTGCCTGTAAACATGGGTAAGAATACGAATGCAGCAGGCTCCTCTCCTGATGGAAGGGACATGAAGGGGAGTACGAACCAGCCTGCAGGGCTGCTTCAGTATTTAGAATTTGGGATGCTCCACCAGCCTCATCTCACATCCATCCTGTGAAACAGGCAAGGCCACTGTCACTTAAAAGGTGACAAAACTGACACCCAGAGAACAGAGAAGGAACAGTTGGATGCCAGGAAACCTGGAGCCATTATTTGCTCAGTAGTCAACCCTGGGGCACCATCCTAACTTCTGGGATCCATGGACTGATATCCCTATCTGTACCATGAAAGGTTCAGTCTCCATCAGTGCTTCCCTGAAGCTGCCATCAGAGACTTAGCACATTCACAATTTTGCATCATCAGAGTCACTTATGCCATTATCCATTTGGTAATTTCTTTTAAGTTTCTCCCTTTTTAAAACTTAAGTGTATTTATGTTCGAAGGACTAGGAAATGTGGGATTCCGTTCTCTCCAGAAGTCCTTCTAGTCCTGTGCAGGAGAAAGCCTTACAATCCACATGCATTTGGCGATGTGCCCCGAATCCAAGTAATACAGACACATCCTGCTCTCCCATTGGCTACATCCTTTCTTCATTTCCTTCTAACCAGCTGCCTCTTGCTTTAGATGAAAGTGAGGTCTGTGGGTCTTAAAGATTTCTGTTTCTCCACCCCTCTACCTGTCGACACTGGAACTGGAAATAGCCCGGAATTTTCCAGCTGTGGGTTGGGATGCATTCGTGCATGAGGAAATCAGTCTAGCAGGTGACCTCCAGCATTATCTTTTAAGTGTAATAGAATAGGAAATAGCAGCAGACATCACACTCTCCACTTAGGGTCAGTGGTGTCCTATGAAGCTCTGTTTCGGCCATGTACATGTGTGCCCCTCCCTGCACATGGGTACCGGGCCACAATGATAAAGATCCTTCTTAACATGAGCTGCCGTCCAAAAGCTTGAAAGCCCCTGACAAAGGCCCTGAAAAATGCAGTTCTCTCCTCTTTTTCTCAGTTGCAATCACAGAACAGGGGCTTTCGAGAGAGGTGGGGGGCTGGGGGTCAGGCTTAGGGGTAGGGAGAGTCCTGTGGAACCCTGCTCCTCAGATCTCTTTGCACACACGCATCCATTAGGCAGAGTTTCTAGCTGCTGCCTGTGCAGGTAAGGAGAGGCCAACGGCTGGGCTCGTGGTGCTAGAAAGCCTGTATTCTCCTCTCCTGGGCTGCTTCCATGTGGATAAGTTTAATAACCTTTTGCCAAAAAAAAAAAAAAGGAGAATTCTTCAACACACCCATGAGTGCAAAAAAGAAAACAAAAACTGCGTAGGAAAACATAATTTCTGCCACAAGCTGCATTGTCCCTTTAAGAACCCTCCCCCGTTGGTCATTGGGCCCCAGCTCTGGGGTAACTAAGACAACATCTCTCCCCAGTCCTGCCATTTCTAAGCATCCTTAGTCACTGTGCTAACGAGACAGGGCTTACTATAGCCTAACAGCACGTCATCCTGAGTAATCATTTCTAGAAGAGCTCTTTTAAAAGCGCTGCTCAGATAGGGAGGTTGTCTGCAGACCTTAACAAAGGTCAGATTCTGTATAACATGTGCGCACACGGACACACATCTGCCTAAATCTTCAGAGCTAGGAGTGGCCAGGAAGGAACTTCTTGGGCTGCATAGAAGTTAGTGTGAGAGCTGGAGCCTGAGTTTTGATAACTAAATAAACTGCACCCCCTCCATCTGGGTGCAGGCGTGACTGACTTATCCAAGGTCGGCTGATCAGTTGAAGATCAGGATAGAGTTTCTTGACCTGGATTCTCAGTCTAAGACTTCTTACGTAAAATATAATAAAAAAAGTTACTATGGTAGTTCCCATTCTGGGCATCAGTTCATCAGCCCTCTCTTATCCATGGCCTGTGCAGTGCTGGCCCCCCAGGGCGGGATGTATTTCCCTGCCCCTTCTGGTCTGGCCACATGACTTGATGTGCCAAGCCTGGGCCCCAAGATACCTGCATGTTTCTACTTGTACCCTTGTGCCTCTGCCATCACCGTGAAAAGTGCCCACCAGTCTTGGGAAGAGAGTAAAAGCCACCCCCTGCCAAGCCCAGCCAAGATCAGCTGAGTCCCAGCCAGCACCTGCGTGAGTCCCACTGAACAGAGCCTACCCGCAGATCTGGGGGAATAGATGGGTGTGGTTTTAATCCACTGAGCTGGTATGTGGTTCCTTACTTAGCATCATGGGGCCCACAGTCAACCATTTCAATAAGAAGTACCTGGATATATGCCTAGGAGTGAGACTGCTGGGTCACATGGTGAGTCTATTTTTAGTTTTTTGAGGAATCTCCATACTGTTTTCCATAATGGCTGCACCAAACTACACTCCCACCAACTGTAGGAGGGCTCCCTTTCCTCCAAACCCTCTTCAGTATCTATTATTCGTAGACTTTTCAATGATGGCCATTCTGACTGGTGTGGGGTGATACCTCATTGTTGTTTTGATATGGATTTCTCTGATAATTAGTGATATTGAGCATTTTTTCATGTGTCTGTTGGCTATTTGTATGATTTCATTGGAGAGTTGCTTGTTTAGGTCTTCTGCCCATTTTTGGATTGGGTTATTTGTTTTTTTCTTATTAAGCTGTATGAGCTATTTATATATTTTAGAGATTAAGTCCATGTCATTCTCTTTTTTTGCAAATTTTCCTGGGCATATATCCAGAGGGAACCTTAATTCAAAAAGACACACGCACCCCAGTGTTCATAGCAGCACTATTTACAATAGCCAAGACATGAAAACAGTCTAAATGTCCATTGACAGATGACTGGATAAAGAAATTGTGGTATATTTATACAATGAAATACTACTCAACAGTAAAAAAATAATAAAATAATGCCATTTGCAGCAACATAGATGGACCTGGAGAATGTCATTCTAAGTGAAGTAAGCCAGAAAGAGAAAGAAAAATACCATATGATATCACTTATCTGTGGAATCTAAAAAAAAGAAAAAAAAGAAAAAAGACTAAGTTGTTTACAAAACAGAAACAGACTCACAGACATAGAAACAAACTTATGGTTATGGGGAAGGGGATTGGAAGGGATAATTGGGAGTTCTAGATTTGCAGATACTAACTACTATACACAAAATAGATAAAAAATAAGTTTATACTGTATAGCACAGGGAACTATATTTCAATATCTTGTAACCTACGGTGAAAAAGAATATGAAATATATATATGTTCCTATATAACTGAAGCATTGTGCTGTACACCAGAAACTGACATAACATTGTAAACTGACTATACTTCAATAAAGATATTTTTTTAAAAAGTATCTTGCAGTCACAAAATATCAGATGTTTCAGAGGCTTTACTTGCATTAACTCACTCAATCCCTGTAACAACTGCAAGAGGGGGGCGCTATCCTTGCACCCATTTTATGGATAAGGGACCTAAGGTGCAGAGAGGTTCAGTGAAATATTAAGTGCACACATCTGGTAAGCAGCAGGAATTTAAACCCGGACAATTTCACTCCATCACTCACATGCTCCGTTCTTAACCATTCTGGTCTCCCTTCCTCCATCACAAATACTCCCAAAGAGAATAAGTACCCGCCAGTCTCTCCTGAACTAAACCCCAGGCCCAGAATTCTACAATAAATAAATTGAATCTCTGCACCTTCCCCTTTCCCTACTCTGTTTATAGGTCTCCAGAGAAGTTGAATCCTCTGGAATTCACAGGCACATGATCTGCTCTCTAAACACCTCCTTCTAACAGGAGAACCTTCCTGACCACGGTCCTTGGAGCTCAGCATGCAGCGTTGACAGAAGTAGCAGGGATCCCCACGAACTGTGACTCCACACCCTGACTCCAGGACCTTCCTTCAGCGAGCGCTGGCTGCTTTATGGATGTGATGGTCATTATCTCCCCTGTAAAGACCTTGTTTACATTTAGAGTTCAAATTAC